AAAATGTAAATAAATTAAACTAAAGTAAAATCAAATTAAGCTAATTAAAGAATGTTAATTAAAACAAAATAAAATTAAATAAATCTGTAAAAGTAAATAAAATGAACAAGAAGAAATTAAATATGATATGTTTAATTACAATAAAATAATTAAACATATGCAATAAAGTAAAATGTAACAATAAAAATTAAAAAATAAAAATAAATTAATTTAAATAAAAAAACATTTGAACAAAATAAGTAAAATAAATATAAATCCAAAAATCCAAGTTAACTGGCTTTTGGTGAGCTCTAAGTCATTCAAAATATTTAAATGAACGAAAATTCTATTGAAACAGAGATCGGCAATAAAATACGGTGTTTTTTGTGTCATTCTCACTTTACTAAAACCGAATAAATCTGGTGAAAACTGTGTAAAACAATACTTTGTACACAGTTTAAAGGAGGTTATAACCATTAAAATTTAAAATTGAGGTATATAAGGCTTGCTTTTAGAAATAAACGAAAAGGAATCGAATTTCTCTATTTCAAGTCAGCAAATGGTATCGGGAATATATGTTTATCGTTAAAAAAGTAACTTACTGTAATTGCCTCCTAAAACTTCACACGCGGTTAACTTGGAATGCTGTTTTCTAAGTCGGTGAGAAAAATTTCTTTGATATCCCTGAACCGATTTACTTGAAATTTTCACACAACCTTCTTAGAAACAGTTGTCAGTTAATGATCGAATAAATAAGATAAAATATTGGTAACCTGTAAGATATTTGGTAAAGCTGTCAACATAACCTGATATTATTCGGATGATTGATCATCTGTTTCCGGGTCGCTAGCATAGATCCAAGACTCATCACCAGTAATAATACATTTCATGCTATCTTGATGGTCAGAAAGCATTATTTCAAAAACATTAACACGACACTGTTTTTCGAAAAAAAATTTAAACCAATCGTACTTTTACTTTTCTTAGGCTCTGTTTCGAGGAATATAGTAGGATTTCGCGTTTAAATTCACTTAAGTCTTACTATTTTTTGACCGCAGCACACAATTTGAGCATTTGTTCTCTTAAAAAAAACACCCACACAATGAAATTTAAGAAATAAAAAATAAGTAATTTAAATGTAAGAGGAATTGAAAAAAATGATTAATAATAAAATATTAAATAATTACTAAAAATATTTTTGTACAACAGAATTCACAGAAAACCATGAAACATAAAATTGTGTAAAAAATTATCGTTCCAAAAACATTAAAAAAAAACTACAATTACATAACCTCACTTTGCGATTTTCGAAGACCGCATATACCATAAACGCAGTGCAAAGCAAAGCTTCAAAAATATATCACAACAATTCGATTCACTTGGCCAAACGAAAGGAAACCACCAAAACGACACTCGACATACACACAAACACACAGTCATATGGACATGCATAGTAGATGTGGTAAGAGAATAATAACAAGATATCAAAAGATAAAATAAAATAAAATGAAATGAAATAACTAAGAGTTCAGCAGCGTTGGCGCGAAAATATTCGCATTTAATAGGCCCCAAATCGAGTCACAAAAGCCAGCATCCAATGCTCATACGTACATCCGTAATTTTGCTCAATTGAGTAGCCTTAAGTAATCACCGCAAAATCACACGTACCACCTATTCATATATACATACATGTATTCATATATACAAACATACATACATATGTATATGTATATATACAGATGCGAATAATCAACAATAGAGTTTGTAAATCAGTAAGTTTGTGTGTAATGGCGTACGAATGGGTGTAAATAAAAGTATCAAACAAACGTATGTAGAATATGTATGTATAATATATGAAATATATGCAAGTGTTTGTATGTGTGTGTGATTATGTATCTGCATAGCTGTGTGTATTTATGAATGAGCGACTTAGCCGGTGCCATCAGTTGCCGGCGTTGATGGTCATCCCACCTGCTATGGCGCTGTGATAAGGGCGAAGAGACGGGGGGCCAGTAAAAAGATGCAACGAAATCAAAACTGAGCGTTATGTGACGTTTGACATTTTTATTTAATTAATTGTTTGTGTATTTTACAATAACTTAGGTGCTCGAGCACTCGTTCCGTTAAACTAGTTTGCGAAGTTTTCGGAAATTTGCGGAAAAAAGTTGTAGTAAATACTTAAAATTAACAATAAAAAGTTATAAATTTTGATCAGTTCTTTCAGGGATTTTGGTTTGTTCGGTTTTGGCAAATTTTTGGAACGCCATTCGATAGATTGTTGCATAATTTCGACATCATATTCATAAACACACTTCTCGTCACCAGTACTGAGCTATACCTAAATCATTAATTAAAATGTGTAGATTCGATCCATAAGAGATGCTTAAGTACTCTGCTATCTCTTTGGCTCCAACAAATCAATTTTCAAGTACAGTTTCTTTAACTTTTCTGATTCCAGCGTCATTAATATTATATTTCGATGACTTCCCGGTCTTCACGGAATGCTTTTTGCCACTCAAATACTTATGTTCGTGATAATGTAGACTCCCCAAAAGTCTTCTGCAACATTTTGAAAAATTTCGAAGCTATGATTCAATTGGAAACGCAAATTTGGTGCTAATTTTTTTACCAAAAGGAAATCGTAGAAGATCCTACAAAGAATTACTACTATTAGCAAAAAATAGTACGACTTTGTTCATAATTTTAAAATTCTTAATTTGTTCTTCAAATCTATATCGTCCACTAAAAGTAAGTGCCAACGTTAAAGTCAATTTCCGAAAATGCATTCAATACACGTATCTATTCACGTTTAATGTCTTGAATTGACTCTAAACGGTTTTCCCTGAGCTGTCGTTTGAATTTTCTGAATAGCCAGAAGTCATGCGGTTTTAATCAGGCGGTAGTTACGGTACGAATTTGGCGAAAAACTGACGAAGATTCAACACAGTATGCGACGATGTATTATCGTGGTGCAAAAACGCAGAGTTGTCGGCCCATAAGTGCGGCCACTTTTTAAGAGTTGCTTCGCGCAAACGAAACATAACACTTAAATAGTGTTCCTAGTAGACAGTTTGGCTGGTCGGAACGAATTCGCCCCACACCTCGATAATTGAAGAAAACTGTCAACATAACCTTGATTTTTGATCTTCTTCGATGCATAGATCCAAGACTTATAGCCAGTAATACATTTCATGACAACCTGGTAGTCAGAAAGCATTGTTTAACGCGGCGCTGTTTTTCGATCAAATTCAGTGATTATGGAACCATTCGTGCTTTCACTTTTCTTCGGCAAAATTATCTTTCAAAATAATTATCAATAATCCTTTCGATATTTCGACGATGCCAGAAGATCTCTGACTATTAGTTACCGATTCTCAAGTACCAATTCCTTTATCATGTTTCGTTGTCAACAAGTTCCCGATCCTTTATGAATAAATTGTACCAATCACCGGAGGCCTGAAATCACTACATAGTGATATCCGTACTAGCTAACAAAATCCCAAGACAATATGCTGCGGCAGTCAGTTGGGTGAATGGCAAGAATGATAGAGTACTTTTCTGTCATTCTGCCTTTGATTTGCAATAACTTGAAGATTTGTGAATCGAGCAAACAACACGTACAAATTAAATATAATGCCTAAATCTAACTATTTTGAACAGTTGTGCTAGTAAAAATATGTTTTTCTGCTTTTTGAACTGGTAAAAAAAAGTAAGTAGATAAGTTCATGATCACAAATATTAATACAAAGTAATGATAATGGGAGACAGGTTCTGCAAACCGCTTTTTATGTATTATTACGTAAATACATACTATGTGTTTTTAGTGTGCCACCGCATTGATGAAGTTATGAGAAGTGTGTACTACGACTACTCGAGACCTGGGTTTAATCTCGGTTTCCACCAACAATAGTAGGTATGTTTACAATGTTTTACAAAAATTGGCAACACAACTGCTACTGAAAGCGCGAACACTTATATGTATGCATATGTATACCTAAAAGTATATAGATAAGTATATAGATCTCATATATTCATTTTCATATACATATCTATGTATCTACATCTTCATATATATGTGTATGCACTTATAGTGACACCTAACACAAAAATTCACATTTTCAAGTTGACTTTCATAATTTTTGAACATTTTCAACTTTAAATTTACGCACAAGGCGATACATACATCAATACATACAAGTATATGTTTATAAATACAACTTGCAGTTAGCAGTCACACGTGATTGCTGGGCCAAGTTAACTGCATACACACTCAAATATAGTGTTTGCATTAATTCTTGAACCGCGCGCCTGCTGCAAGTTTTATTTAATTTTTTGTATAACTCCTCATTATTATTATGTTGACCACTTTAAGGTTAGCTTAATTATTATGTTGAACATGTAATTCGCAGCGGCATTTGTGTTATTAAAAAGGCAAAGTTCAACTCGTTGGTTCGTGTTTTGTTTAATTTATGAATTCGAGCCACAATGGGTGACATTGAGCACTTGTTTTGGGTAAAGTGCTAATAGGTTCCAACCTCAACGCACAATCTCACGCCGCGAGGAATAGTTTATACTCGTAATGGAACAAACGAATTTATGTTGATATCAGTTGTAGAGGCAAGTTTTTGGGTGAATTTTAGTGGTCATTTAAACTGAATTTAATTAAGCTGGGCTTAAGATTTTATGAGATATATGAGAGTATTTCAGTAATTCTAAATTCATTTGTTTAAGCTTTATATAAAATACTTTATTTGTGAGCTTTGAAGTCCATACTTAAAAGAAATATTATATTTCAGCGAAAACAGTTTCAAAAATGGTATAAAGGACAAACTTTTTCTTTTACAAATAATCAAAGCTTTATGGCTACGGCCCCCAACCACAACAAATGTTAACTGTCAAAGTCAACAACTCCCTTATTCGTGAGAGGGAAAAGCTTGAAAAAAACTCATAAATCAATGCAGACAACTATTCTGAGTTCTTAAATATATAAATGTATGTGAAAGAGTAAACAATTTTATGTTTCATATTCGTGCTGAAATTTTATTATTACAAAGTCATGAAAATAATGAAAATTACTATGGAAATTAGGTTAGAATAACTCAGTCACACCGGGGATATAGTTGATTTCTGTAAATAATTGTCGACTTTTTTCCACTGTCAAGTTAATAAATGAAAATTAAAAAAAGTTTAACACATTCCACAGATTTTCGAACAAGGGTCATATGTATACATATGTTCTGAAGGAGTTTAAGACTCTTAGAACACGGGACAAAATTAATAAGCTGCTAATTAAACAACAACCTTCAAACTACATTCACCTTCGTCATAAACTTAAATCTGCTGGTAATTTCAGTATTTAGAATTCAATAAATTTTTCATTTGTTTACACTGTGATCAAATTGAAAGGTGAATTTTGTCCATTTCACCTCTGCGCATTACACTTATGCCAGAGCCTTCTTCGATTCAGCTTTTATATCCTCAATTGAGTTAAAACGGTGTCCTCGGAGTAGTCATGTGAATTTGCTGAATAGCCAGAAGTTACACGAAGGTAAATCAGGCGAATGCGGTGCCGCAACCACGATATTGGTTAAAAATGTGTCGAAATGATCATAAATAACCAATGCAGTATGAGGTGGTGCATTATCGCACTTCTTTGTTCAATAATTTCAGACATAGTAAAAATCGAAGAATTCCCTTTTAAAGCCTCACAAATCTCAAATACTAATGAATATTTTGACGTGAAAGTGAGCATAGATGTCACTAACAGTACTACCAAATTACAGAAAAAAAATTGTATTTGTATTTCATCCCCGTTTTTTGTCTTCGTAGTCAAAATCACCACTTTAAATCATGTCGCTTTTGACACGTTCGCAAAGCAACAAGCATGTTCATCTTAAACTTTCACGAAAATACGATTTAGTGATTTTCTTCATAATAATGTAATGAAGTAAGATTCCCCGAAAAAATTCCCCTGCTTTTCTGGTACAAAGTTTGAGTGAAAAACAAGAAAAAACGTTAAATTCGGCTTCACCGCAGCTACAATACTCCTCAGAGGTTTTATTACGGGACTAATCTGATCTTTTATGTATATACTTTATAGGATCTTTGACGATTCATTGTGGATGTTACAAACTTCGTGTCCGAATTTTGGTTTATCTCTTCGATCGACTGAAAATAGGTTCTGCGGAGCGACAATTTCAGTTTGATGAACAAGAAAGAATCACACAGAGCCAAATCTGGTTAATGCGGTGATTGATCGACGGTATTCATTGCGTCTTTGGCTTTAAATTCGATCAAATTGTACTCTTTTTGGAAAAAATTTAGCTTTATCGGTGCGAGTCGAGCAAGAATGTGCTTCATTTCATATCCACCAAACGCATTCGAATGGACTCGCGAGAGATTTCGCGCTCCCTTCTTACTTGAAAACTAGTTGACAGATCGCTCTCACATTTGGTATACTAATTAAGGACAATTCTACCAAATTATTTATTTATCTGGGTGCTTTTTTGTCACAATGTATGTCTATTTTCGAAATTTTGCATAAATTATTGTCCAAGGTGACGCTACAACTAACGAACAAATGGGACAGATCTGACCACTGTATAAATGTTGAAAAAGAAACCACTCAGACTTTACTACGTGCTTAGCCTTAGATCAGATATCAAGGCTACACAGTCTCTTAAAGAAGAAATAATATACAATATATGTATGTATTTTACCTGTTGCACTCAGTTCTTTTGTGTATACATATGTATATGTACGTGCTTATTCACTTTTCCTTTTATTTCCGCATACAAATGCATTTTTCCGCACATACACATGCACATTTAATCCGATTTCTGAAAGCAAATTAGTCAACTGCGCCATTTAGCGAAGTGCGACTCAACCATAAGGGATGATGATGATGATGATGAATTTATTTAATTGTATTACATTGAAAATAAAAAGGTTACTTTCTTGCTTCCAATTTCAGTTGTCGCAAAGCCGTAGAGAAGGGAGCAAGCGAGCAAATGCAGTTCCCTTATATTTTCAGATATTTATATATATTTCAACTGTAGCAGCGACAACAACAAAGGAAGTTAGTGAAAAAATCATAAGTAAATAAAATCGTTTGGAGATAACAAAAATGCATTGGCAAGCGAGCGTAATCCTCGTGGCGTTAGTCACACTGTGCCTCAGCAGCGTGCTATGGAGCTGTGTCAATGCTTATCAGGTGGGAGTGGGACGTGCGGATTCTACGGGACCACCAGTTGAAATACATTTCGTAAGAAAGCAACAACTTTTCTTATAAGCATATAGCTTACACTTTTTTATTTCCCAGATGGGTTATGCTAACCTTAAACAAGTGGGGCGCGGTCTGCATCTGCGCCAATTTGCACGCGCCTTTGTTGTTGAGGATGAGAACCACAAGCGCGTCGCCTTTGTCTCCGTGGACGCGGGCATGATGGGTTACGGCGTCAAGCGCGAGGTGAAATTAAAAAATTATTAAATCTTGTCATACATTTATACTCTCTTTATACATATTTGTAGGTGGTGAAGCGTTTGCAAGCGCGCTATGGTGATATCTACACGGCGGATAATGTGGTTATTAGCGGAACGCATACTCACAGCGCACCCGGTGGCTTTCTTATGCATTTGCTTTATGATATATCGATTTTGGGTTTCGTGCCGCAGACTTTCGAGGCGCTTGTGCAGGGTTGCTACTTGGTGAGATTATTGAAGATTTAAATAATTTAAAAAAATTTTTGAATTTTTATTTTTTTCGCAGAGCATCAAACGCGCCACCGACAATATGGTGGATGGTAAGATCTTCCTCTCAAGAACCACTATCCTAAATGTGAACATTAATCGCTCGCCAACCTCTTACTTGCGCAATCCCGTGGAGGAACGTGCGCAATATGAGCACGATGTGGATAAAGTGCTGACACAATTGCGTTTCGTTGATTCGGATAATACTTTGTTGGGCGCTTTCAATTGGTACGCGGTACATCCGACATCAATGAATAATACGAACAAATTGGTGACCTCTGACAATATGGGTTATGCTTCGCTGCTTTTGGAGAAGGAATACAACACGAATAAAGTACCCGGAAAGGTAAGCTATACTAGTCTTAATATAAGCAATATTTTCAAAAATCGGAAAGCTCCAAATCAATACTGGACCATGTAGAAAAATTTAAAAACAAGTTCCATCAATTCAATAATATTTTTTCACTCAACATAGAGACCAACTTTTCGAAATGTCTAAGCTTGAATTTAAATTATTTATGAACTCATCAACAAAATGTTCTGCCTTTTAAAGAGTTTCAACAAAAAATATTTTTTTCTATTGTTTTCAGGGCAAATTCGTTGGCGCTTTCTGTTCGTCGAATTTGGGCGATGTGTCACCGAATATTATGGGTCCGAAGTGTTCGATTAGTGGCAATGATTGCGATCTACTTACCTCAAAATGTCCACAAAAAGAAGGCGAGTGTTTTGCGTCTGGTCCCGGACGTGATATGTTTGAAAGCACTGAAATTATAGCGAGTCGCTTAGCTGATGGGGCTTTGGTGAGTAAAATTTTGAGACTTCAACTGGTTAGTGTGGTAAGAAATATGCATGTATCACTTGCTTTCTAGCGCTTACTAAACGATAACAGTCAAGAGACGACAAGCCGTGAAATTGTCGGCGAGTTGGCCTACATTCACCAATTCGTCGATATGCCCAACTACAATGGCACCACATACAATCCACTACAAAGAAAACTGGACAAGATACGCGGATGCCTGCCCGCCATGGGTTATAGTTTTGCTGCTGGCACCACGGACGGACCAGGCGCGTTTAGTTTTGAACAGGGCACCATTACCGGCAATGCAATGTGGAACGCAGTGCGTGATTTCATAGTACCGCCAACACAAGAAGACATCAGCTGTCATGCGCCGAAGCCCATATTATTAGCAACTGGGAGGGTAGGTCTCAAGTTTTGTAGTAAAAATTAAGAATTGTTGTAGAAATTCTCATTTTTTCACAGGCGACATTCCCCTACGAGTGGCAACCGAAAATTGTGTCTACGCAGCTTTTGAAGATCGGCGATCTGATACTGGCCGCAGTGCCTGGCGAATTCACCACAATGGCTGGACGTCGTTTGCGTAATAAGATTAGCGCTGTGGCTGTGGCGACTGGGGGCAAAGATACAGAAGTCATTATCGCAGGTTTATCGAATATTTATACTAGCTATATCACAACGCCGGAGGAGTATCAAGTGGGTTCATTGGCAAAAGTTGGTCGCAAAATTGACTTTAATTTCACAATATTTATTAGGCTCAAAGGTATGAGGCAGCATCGACAATTTTTGGTCCGAACACGCATACAATCTACATGGATGTCTTCGAGCAATTGACGAAAGCTATGATACGTGGCGAGCGCCTGCCACCTGGACCCGCACCACCATATATGAATGACCGCATGCTGTCGATGAATACTGGCGTCATTTTCGATGGTCATCCAATCGGCAAGGATTTTGGTTTTGTTAAGCTGCAACCCAAAAAGTCGTACCAGATCAATGAAACTGTGGTCGTGACTTTTATTGCTGGCAATCCGCGTAATAATCTATTTCCTGAGAAGACATACTTTGCGGTAGAGCGTAAGATCAACGAGGAACGTTGGAAGGTGGCTTATACGGATTCCAGTTGGGAAACGAAGTAAGTTTATTGTATTTTTTAAGTTAATCGTCATATGTACCATATTTTCATTCAACAATAATTTTATTTTTTGTTTTATTTTTTGTTATTTCTACTCTTTGAAACCTATAGATTCATTTGGGAGCGCGTCCATCTGATTCTCGGCTTCAGCGACATTCACATCCATTGGACCATCGGCACCAACACTCTGCCAGGCGAATACCGCATTCGGCATTTCGGCAATTACAAATATATTTTAGGTGGCATTTTCCCATATGAAGGCATTTCGAACTCATTCTTGGTGACGGAAGGCTAATCGCTGCCTTAGATGTCTGCATACGTAGAACACGACGGACGACGATTGGATTACTAGTCAGAGACTGCGCTCATCAGGTGTTACTGCTTCTCAGCTACATACTATATAGTACATATGTAAAGCATATAAATTTTTTATAACAAGTTGTATGTACTTGTAAATATGTACAATGTGTGTGGTACAGTGCCATACAAATAATACGTACACACATATTTATTTGTTTATTATTGTTAGTTGTGTATATACTATATAATGGAAAATGTATAGGAATAAATCCATAAACGACTGTTGTACCAATAATTTATTGTAGTGCTGTTAGACCTTTAGATGCTATAATCAAAGGAGTTCAGTGGCCGCAGTCTGATTGTACCATACACTGACGAAGGGCAGCAATTCAATGACCACCGTTAAATAAGTATTTAGCATACAACAGGGATTATTTATTTGCCAAATTATTTTTCCTGTAGCTCACAGCGATATTCAAACGGCTATAACCCGTTTCAAAAATTTATAATCTGAAGCTGTGTATGGTGGAAGAGCACATTTTTTGTCAAATGAGGCCCATTTTCCCTTTCCTAATAAGCGATCTTCTACTTATTGTCTCAGCTATCTCAGTGGTCTTTTTTTATAGTAGGAGCAGGCATCGAGCCGGAGTACCGAACTACAAGACTCTCCCACGGAACCAGCAGATACCGTATTACTTCGTTGGAGTAACAAAACATTTCACGTTTCTTCTATAGCTAACGGACGGACCGACGCCTATTCTGCTGTAACTATCTTAATTTAGTGATGATGGAAATTGTCGCTTCGTGCACAGTTTTCCCCTTATCAAAGCACTGACACATAAATGCAGTCAAATTTTCCACAGTATAACTACCACTTAGTGCAGTTTCTAACTTTACCCTTATGATTAGAAACCGGGCACAATGGAAAAACATGGGTTCAGAGTTTGCATGGACTCCGTACACATCGAACAATACAAAGATTTCATTTTGAAATTTGTATAGATAGAGTCTGAAGCACCAAGGCCAACTTAATATTAATAATAACTTTTCTGCTGTGTTCAAAAAACGTGAGACGACCACGTTAAAATTCGTTCAGTCAAAGACGCTCTCCAATGAAGAATACGAGTTATCATATACAGTATCTCAGGCTATAGGTTTCGCTCTGTGATTTCCAAAAATTTCATTCGACCGATTTGTTATTTTCTCCCTCCGTCACTAGGAGGACCATTATTCCAAGGAGCTACACGACAGTGAATTTCTCAAGCACCAATACTAATCTGGAAGCCCTCGTATATTGTTCAAAATTTTTCTCTCACTAAGTTATCGAACTTACGATTCACCAAGTGTTCGAAGCGCTTTATTTCTTCTCAACTACTTGAGATTTAAAGTATAAAATTATTATTTCCGTTTATTGCTTATACACATCCGCTTTACAAGCAGCTAGATGTCGCCTTGCGTACTTGTGAAACCATAAATAATAACACTTTACACCACACAACCGCAGTGTTGCATTTTTCAGCATTAGTGAATGCCTGATTATACCAATATTGTTTTTACAATTTCAGGAAATTGTTATAATTTTAACAATTCAAAAAAAAAACTTTATATGTGCTAAAAACCGATCTTCGTCAAATTTCCAAATGTGGGGTTTTTTAAATATACATTTTTCTTCTTTATTGGCGTAGACCACCCTTATGCAGCTATATCATTCAACAAAAACAGCGAAGCGTTGATTTGACTAAAATTTTTTGGGTTTTTTGACGCATAACAACATTTTTAACCCGAAGCCGAAGGTAATTTTTTGAGGCACTGATTGTAACTCGCAATTTAAATTCCAATCGAGCTCTCGAGAGCTATAATTTAATCTTTCTTAATTTTTAAAGATTCCTTTTGTCATAAGGTTCTTAAATACTTCATTAATATGAAACTATATATCTCTAGTTTTGACTTTCCGATTTCTAACAGTTTTTTTTTCATATATCAAATAGTATTACTATTGACCAGCTGTACACAACAACCCCAACAGCTGTTCAATGCTGTAACAACAAATTCTTATGCTCACTATAACGGCAATGCTCGCGACCGCCTAGCAAAACAACTCTTTTTCACACGCTGTATTCACCACACCTATGGTGCATTGAGGAGAGAATGGCTTTGCGCAAATTCACCATACACTAAATTTGCCTTATGAATCTCAGCAACTTAAATAAAAGCCAGCACAATGCGCGACACAGTCCAAGTGGGAAGAAGTTGAGAATCGCGTACAAACCGATGCGTCGTCGGACTGTATTCAGTAAATAAATAAACAAACGAAAAAAAAAAATAATAATTTCACGCGCTTGGAAAATTGAATATTTATATCAATGATGTTGGCGGACTAAAAGTCAGTTGTTAGATTACGTTGCAGAGTGAATAAACGCGAGTGCCACTGTATGCTATTGTACATACATATGTACATATGTACATATAATATATACATAAGTGCGGTTTGTGATTAAGTGGGTGTGCGTCCGGCAATCGAGGACAGTTCCTGAAGCAACAAATTATTACAATTAAAAATATACAATCTCTATTGTGGGTGCATTAATTGTGTTCGGTCATTAGTCAACGCTGGTCAAGTGCAGCGCGAGTGCCAGGAGACAAAATCCAAACCAAAGGTACTTAAAACAACAGCAAAAAGGCATACACTTACGCGTGCAGAGAGCGCACAAGGAGAGCTGGGAAGAAGCCAACAAAAGATACACGAGTAAACACACCAGCCGGTGAGAGAGCAACGAAAGTCGTAAAGCAATTTTAGGTACGAAGAAAAGTGTGTTTGTAAATATTATAGAATTTATCCGGTAAATTGCGTGCGGGCAAAAAAGAAAAAAATACGAAATAACACGCAGAGCGCTGTTACGCAGAAGAAAGCCTGGCCGGAGTCAAGTAAGCGCTTATCGATTTGTTTATAAGCTTTAGCAACGTCTTGCTTTGTTATTGTTTTGTGATAGTATTTTTACTGTAACTTTTGTGGTGCCCCAATAAACGTTAAAAGCGCGTTCATGATTTCTGTTGCTTTTGCCCCGCTACTGATCGGGTGAATTTTGCTTTGTATGAACATAAAGGTTTATATTTAAGCATGTACATATGTATGTAAATTATGTTGTGCTGGCAGATAAATATAGCTTCATTTGCAGTAGCTCAACGGGAAATTTAACAGTAATTCTTTCATCGACGGTGCTTCAGTTACAGGTAAACGCTTGTGCAACCGCAAATATCGAAATTTCCATAGCGGTGCCCCACATTCATCCATACATACACATGCATGTTGGTGTGTAATAGATATGTACATACATACATATGTGTTTGTTTGAAACTATTGGTTTGACTTATAATCAGCACTGGCGAGGCACTGACAACTTGATATGCCAATAAGTATCTCATTTCTGTAGGGTTTGAGTCAATTTGAAATGAAATTTGTAGCTAAGCTAAGCTAAGGATACCAATCACGCTTTCAAATACATACATTCTGTGAACCAAAAAATAACTAGTAAATACAGTTGCAAATAATGCATTAAAAATTAAGTGAAGTAACATTTGAATTAAATTTTTGTTATTCCAAGTAACCCCGATTTTTTTTTTTTTACAAATCCTGTGAGAAATCCTGTCAGAACCTTTCTCTCGAAAACTTGTAACGCTGACTCATCAGATGTTGCCTTCGTCCATGACGTTGCACCCTTGAGCGACTTGTCAAATTTGGTCTTTATTCGTCGAGAGAGAACTTTATTTCTCAATTGCCTACTTTGTCCGAAGAAGCACCTGTGGTAAAAGTTATTCTGCGTTGGATTTCGAGGTTGTCGTTGTTGTTGGTATTAATACTGGTTAAAATATAGTCGAAAATACGACTTTGGGAGCCAAGTCGGGAGTGTGACGACTGTTTGTTTGATGACAGGAGGTATTTCCTCTTACCCTCGTTCATTACGAGACCCATTTGTGTCGCTCTTCGTCCAACCTGGAGAGTGCAGAACTAACGACGTGATTGTTGAAGCCAATGATATCGATGTCATCGACGGACGCCAGCAGTGGTACACTCTTGTAGAAGATTGTGTCTTCTCTATTCAGCTCAGCAGCTCTATAAGATACTAAATTAAGACATAGCGGCATAAAGGGCAAAATTACTTTTGAAATCGACGAAATGTATATGTATAAATTAGATAACAATATTTGCCCATATTTACTGCAAAGCAGCATTAATCTTATTACTTTGCGCTCTCGTAACTTCGTCTCCATATGCGTCCATATGTGTTCAATGGGATTGAGGTCTAGATTCTGGGGAGGATGAGACTTACGCAACAGCTTTAAGTCATTTTAATGAACAAAGCAGTAGCCACCAATCAGATTGAGTTTCGCTGGTAATGATTATTTTTTAATATTACCAAGTAGTCAATTTTTTTTTCATAATTCGTTCGAATATTACCGACACCATTTGCTCCAATTCCCTCGCCAAAATGCAGCCCCCAGTTTGCTTGACCTAATTTTCGTAGACTATTTGATTCAAATAAATTAAATTTGGACTGGTCTGTAAAAATTATAGAATCCTAAAATTCATTTTAATAATGGATATAATATCTTGGAATATAATAAAAGTTTCGCAATATTTTTCTTCGATGAATGTGTTTACGCCCTAAAAATATGTGAAACCAAACAGCTTGTGAGTGAACACACTAATTTAGCGATAGTGACATCGGATATTTTGGGTTGTGCCTCGTTACTTCGAGCAACTCTACTATTAGCCTGGGCGGGGAAAGTTTTTTTTGGTAGCAGCAGTCTTTTTGAATTTACTTTTAACAATAATTTACTGAACTCTAGTACCATATGTGGTTTTTTGACAATATTGCCTATTTCGCGAGTGCTTTTGTTCACTGCCATTATTTGCTACCAGAGCTTGTAAATCTTGAGATGTTTGTTTGTTCAACAGTTTTTCTTCAAAAACTGCAACCGCACAAAAGCCAAGTGCTTACCAAACAATACAGTTTGTCCATAGACAAATAAAATCCGGCAACAATAAGCTCACAAGACATTTTTATTTAAAGTGTTACCAAAATAAAAGCTTTGCGCACAGATTTTTTGTCTGGCTGTTTAAAAGTTAGATATTTTAATATTTTGCAAGCTTTAGCATTAAAATTGATTTATTGCTAATTTTTCTATAAAAACGCGAAAGATTCGTAAAATTGCCATATTTTTACTCTTGGTTGCAGCTTAGAAGCTGAAGTAGTTGAAGAGAAAAGTCCCTTCCAAGTCTAAACATGTCTCTGT